GAGTTTCCTTATGTGAGTTGGAGGTGTGGTACAAGGGTAATTTGGTAATTACATATTGTACTCCAGGATTTTCTAGGATTATAAATAAGTGTGTATGTAACCCTAGGTATTATCTCCAAATTTTGTAATCTCTTTTCTGAATATTGAAAGGAATTCGCCGCTATACTCCCGAGAACGTAGGCATCTTCGCCGAACCTCGTTAAATCTTTGTATTCTTCTGGATTTGTGTCGATTACCATTTTTCTTCACCCTAATTTCTCAACATAGAGCAACGAAATGAGAGATTCCTCTTGTAAGTCGAGATGATCGACTGCTGTATATTCCTCAAGTAGTAAAATTCTCTACAACTCTATGGACATAGTCAATTTGTCGAACCACGTAAATCTGTGTGTTCCACTGTGTTACCGTTTTCCAGTGTGAGTTTTCTCGTTCTATTTTTCGCTTTCATCAAAGATCATTCTCGTATTTTATTTCTACATACCAAAACAATTGTGCCTCTTTGATGTGATGGGAAATATTGGAGTGATATGAATGTAAAAAGTAAAGTATAGGTGTGAGATATGTAAATGCAGAAGAATTGGGTATGTATCTAAATGCCCTCAATAAACAGATCTTATCTAAATGCCCTCAATAAACAGATCTTTTGTTGCATCTCCAAGAATAGTAATGAATTTCTCAAAATTTTCTTCTATGAATTCCATGAATCTCTCTCTCTCTCTCTCTCTCTCTCTATGTATGTGTATGTGTCTTCTGCTCCCCTCTGTGTGATTGGGCGGTGATTGAATTTTGCTTCTAGGAATTCCATGAATCTTTAGTTGCATCTCCCCTGCGTGATTGAATGAAGAATGATGGTTGATTTGTAAATAGCAAGTTTTGGGTGGTCTGTATGTAATTGATAGAGAACATGTGGATATTTCATTGGGTATCCTTTGCATCCTGTGCATCTGTGGTAGAGAAATGATGGGTGCTTCTGCTTGCAGATTGAACAAAAGTGAATCCGTGCCTCCAATTTCACATTTTTTTCCTTCCATTTTTTGTAAGATCTTCAGGTAAGAAAGGGAGGCTTTAAACCAATTAGTCCTAAACCCTGATATCAACAGAAGAAAATTATTTAAGAAGTTTTTCCTACCATTATTATGTAACAATGTCAACTGTATTTCATTGAGATTTTTTGTTTTTGTTTACTCCTGAATTTATTTAACATCCAATCAATCAGCTTTAAAAGTATTTCAAATACATTTCATATTGTTTAGACTGCATACATTTAATTTATCTGTAAATGAGGTGCATTTAGCTTTTTAATATATAATTAGAGCATTTATGGTGAGATAGGAATGATTTGAGTTTTAATGCAAACATTGAAGTATAGGTATCAGCCATGTAAACACATAAAAATTGGGTGTTATGTTGCATCTCCAAGAATGATAATGAATATATCAAATTTTACTTTAACGATTTCCATGAATTCCTTGCTCCCTCATTGTGTGTGTGTGTGAGTGTCCAGCTCTCTCTCTGTGATCGGGAAATGATTAAATTTTACTTTTATGAATTCATGAATCTTTAGTTGCTTCTCCCCTGTATGATTGAATTAAGAAGGTTGGTAAATTTGTAAATAACAATATTTGAGTGGTTTGTATGTGATGAATGAGTCTGAAAGGTTTAATTAGTTTCTAAAATAACTAATGAGTATACATTGTAGTTTTGTTTAGAACATTGCAACTTCTGTGTGTCAGATTGTTCATTTACTTAAAAAAATTACAAATTAGTTGTTTTCAAAACATACAAACCAAACAACTAAACATTTTATTCAAAATAGGAGCATAATAGTCATTTATCAGAATCAATTGTTTTCCAAACGTACAAACTAAATAGTCAGACTGTTTCTCCGAATCAGCTGTTGATTAACAGCTTATCTGGACAAGTTTAAACTAGATAAGTTGCAGCTGCCCCAAATAGACCCTAAACTGCTGCAAAGATGATCGCCTTGATTATAAAATTTGAGCGGTTTAAACTGTGGCGGTGGCTGCCATTTTTCTTTAAATTCTGGCGGTTTAAATTGTCGTTGGAGCTGGGTTTTCCGCTGTGGGTTTATAATGACCGCAAAATATCCTTGTGGCGCACAGCAATTATGGCAAAAGATGCAGTGGTTTAACATGGCTGGAGAATGTGTTATGGCGGTTTAAACCGTTGTTGTAGTGCTCCAAAACCAACGCTAAAAGTACTTTTTATTATAGTGAATACTTCTATGTTTTAGCAATTCTATTGGTTGCTCGTACATCGTAAAATTTGGACCCCCATTCAATGTGAAGCTGCCCAAAAAAGTCAAACTAAAATTGAAAGCAAATGACACAATTATCTATGATATAGTGGTTGACGATGTGATCTTCTATCGTGAGATCGTGGGTCGAATCATGCATATTACTTTTGGGCTCATTTTTCACTCAAAAAAATGAAAACAGATGTATTTTAAGATTATGAAAAATTTAACAATAAAAGCAGAGATTTATTTACTCAAAATTGTGGGATATTATATTTAAGATTTATTTGGGATAATTTTTTACCTCTGTTGTATTTAAGACGATCATCATAATATTATTTTGGAAACTACTTTCTGCTTTTTAAATAGTTTATAACGAGAAATTATTTTTAAAATAACATTTCTTAAAAAAAGTGATAATTCTTAAAAATTTCTCATTTAAATTTTGAAAAAAAAAACATTTTTATAATTTTCGCATCATAACTTTACAATACTCTTTATAAAAGGTTATCTATTCATTATATTATTGGAATATTATATTAATCAACCAAACCAAAAAAAAAAATGACTTTGTCATTTGCAAAAGCAACTTGAAATGGTACCCTTCCATATTTAACCACTTTACAACCTTAAAGAAATTCTTTGGCCATGTAAAAGAGGTTGCAAGTTGGTACAGAGTAGTTGTTGGTAGGAGACAAATGGTAAGTGATGATTGTAAATATATAATTTATATTAACGAATAATTCATCAAAGAGAGATTATAATCTACATACATCTCAGCCTTAAACCATATTTTAGTCTTTTTAATGATCATGATTATCCATGTTTAAATTTGGTACATGCGTAAATGCTTTTTTTTCAAGAATTGCAAAAAAAAAAAAAAATGTTTTATATATTTTATTAATCATATATTTTATTAATCATAATTTAAACCCAAAATTGATTGCAAATTAATGAACTTTGAATCATAAAAATAAAATATTACATATGTTGTATGTACAGACAATCAATCATGATGCAATATTATAATGCGTACAGTATATGCTCGAATCTGTGTTTCCCGGCCTGTTGGTTGGCATTCACGGTATAAGACACATCAGGTCGGGGGTTTGAATCCCTTCTGGCATAGTTGGTTTTAAAGACGTGGTACTTGAATTGTTAGACACATTATGGGTGATTTGAGGCTTGTATAATAATCTCTGGTCATTCCTTACAAAAAAAAAAAAAAAAAAAAAAAAAAGCCCGAACCGTGTCATGTGTAATATTTTTTTCTTGAATTTGAGCTCATCAATAAGAACAATTTATATATTGCAAAAAATGGAATGTTAGTTACTAAGCTTATGTAGATTGATCAAAACTAATTATTAACTACTAATTCTTTGATCTCAACTAATTATAAAATCATGCGCGCATGCAAGCATATTATACCACTCCACATAAGATAATATTCTCATGATCGGGTCACCCTTCTAGATGCATTAAAAAAAAGGGACATTTACATACATACCACACAATTCTCGTATATTTTCATATGTAATACCTAAACATTTATATTTACGCACATACCTTAACATCACACCAAAATATCGCCACCACTATTTTTAGAAATGTGAAATAGACCATTTTACGTATACTTTTAATTGCAAGTGTAAATATCAAACTTTGTGTGGTAGTTATGTAAATACATAAGACTTATGTTGAATGTATGTAAATTTTTGAAAAAAAATGATAATTTGGACCTTTTCTTTTAACTTAATAGCAATGATATTATTTTTTGGGCAGATAGTACAAAAATTTCATTTTTTTAAAGGAAAAAAAAACTTCAAAATGCTTAAGAATGTAACTTAGGGGTAAATCAGCTTCCCAATTTAAATTGTATTGCAATATGAATCCGTTGAACCTTTCTAATGTGACAAAGCTATCCCTAAAATTTAGCCTTTCTATAATACAATAATTCTCCGTTTGAAGCAGCTTATCCGCTACGGCGACGTTTTGAAAATGTTGTCTCACCGTTTGGAAATTGCGTTTGAGCAGCTTATCCAAAAATGAGGATAATTTTTTACACTAAATGCGGAACGCAGGACGAGCCCCGCAGTTCGCGTTTCCAAATAAACATCTTATCTGGATAAGCATAAGCTGCCCCAAAACGCAGCCTTCCGTACATCGACCCTACCAATATAAATCTGACATTGATAGAAGCTTCAAGCACACATCCACTTTTATTATAACCAAAGAATTTCAGAGCTTGTGAGACCCTGTGTGCTGAAAGGGAGAATGCAGAGATGGCTGATCAGAAGCTGTTAGGTTTATGTTGGTGCGGTCAATGACTTCAAACCAAAGGAATGACTCATTTACCTACTTGGTAACTATAAAAACGACTTTTTTCCCCAAGTAAAAAATAAATATAATTTCATAATCTGTTACATTATACATGTGCCATCATATCTAAAAATGACTTCCCATATTTGCAGTTTTGATATTTTTTTCTGATGTCACATTGGAGAAATTAATTTCACTCATTCAAAGCAAGCAAAAAAAAGCATTTTTACATTTTGACTTTCAGAAAGTATGTTAAATTTAATCGGTAATATAAATTATCTGTTCATCTTCTCATCGTTTTTTTCTTTCAAGATGCAAGATTTAATTCATATAAAGAGAAGAAAATAGCAGTAATTGATGTTTATAAAATGTTAAATTATATAACTTAATACATTAACATTCTTTTTACAAAACATGTGTTCTACTTTGAGGTCTCAAGCTGGCACGTAATTAAATGTTCTATAACAAGGTTTGCATGAGGCTGATCTTCCTATTTACAGATCTCTATCTTTCATCTGTATGTATTCTCCATCTTCTTCTGAGTTTCTTTCTACCAATATATTTGGCTGCAACAATATAAAAAATGTGTTATGTTAGAAAAAAAGTTTTAAATTTGCATGTAAATTTTATCATCACTTACTCAAGAACATCCTTCCAGCTAAGATCAGAATCATCCAGCTCTGTCAAATTTAATGTATCCATAGCCCTTGCATTCACAGAATTCGCAGCAGAAGTTTCATTTAAATCAATCTGATCTTGCTTCTGATCAACCGAATAGCTTTCAGTTGATGCTAACATATTGTTACCGTTAGAATGAAACAGTAACTGCTTGCTGTTATTTTCTGAATTCTGAACAGGAAAGCCATGGCTATGATTAGGAGTTTGAAATGATTCTCCAAACGATGATGTCTCAAGAGGAACAGAGGAGCCGTTGGAGTTATTAGAGAAGGTTTGCAGAGGAGGAAGCTGAGATGAGCTTAACAGATTGCTCAAAACCAAATTTGAATAAGCATTTGGATTTGAAGAAGATGATGAAGAAGAGGAAGAAGAAAAGGAAGCAGTTTTCAGCAAAACTTGAAATAAAACTTGCATTATCTGAATTCGAGCTAGCTGCACTGTGTCAGCTTGAATCCCAAGGGTGTTCTCCATTAATGAATTTATGAAGCTGCTGCTGTTTGTGGAGGAGGATAGAAGCTTAGGAAAGTTGGCAAGGAGCTCGAGATCAGTTCTCCGGCGATGTGTGACCGGATCGATGCCCATTAAAAGGAGCTTCTTTTTTAGATGGGTGTTCCAGTAATTTTTTATCTCGTTATCTGTTCTTCCTGGTAACTTGGTGGAGATCAGAGACCACCTACAATCATATATATGGCACGAATTGAAAAAATATAAGAATATTTATTTTCTTAAGAATTTCATCTGTATATAAAAAATGGAGATATCAGTACATAAATATGAAATTAATATGTATTTTTATGTAATATTTATTTTCCATAATTTACTAATATAGTTCTTATAATTTATATGAAATCAATATGTATTTTTATATCATTCCCAAAGTACACTCGAATACATAGCATCTTATCTAGAATTAGTCAACACTTTTCAATATTTAAAGCTTTTTAAATACTATCATTGTAGGGGTAATTTATATGTAAGATTTAGGTGGTAGACATAATTAAATTAATGTATGAAAATTTTTTGGTATGTATGTAAATCCCACATAAGGGAAATATTTGCGTACATTCTAATACGCAGCGCTGCTTACGTCCAGGGGTTATTCAGGGGTTTAAGGGGGGTTATATCGGGGTTATACCCCTCTGTAACCCCCCTGTAACCTCTTTGTAAACTACCTGTAACCTACAAATGAGTTACGCGCTTCTGTAGTTTTATGGGTAAAAATAAGTTACACGGAGGTTAAAAGGGAGTTACACGGAAGTTACAGGGGGTATAACCCGGATATAACCCCCTATACCCCCTGAATAACCCATGACGTACGCAGCGTTGCGTACGTCTTATGTACGCAAATATTTTCCCCACATAAAAATTACTTAATTTTTATTGAAATCTGTTTTTGATAAATATATTAAAAATAGCTCAAACTCTTAAGGCAAAATGAACAAAATATTATTTTACTGGAATTTTTAATTTTCTCTTTTTTTTTAAATTATACAGGACACTCTTCCTATGTTTTAAATGTCTTTATATTTACTAGATATCCATTAATATGCCTTTATTATGTGATATATTCAATACGACACGCCTAAGCTGTTCTTCCACGAAATATTAAACTTAATTTATGAGCCTCACCTACAAATTTTTGACTTTGCCATCATTTTCATAATATATATATAATAAAACATAGTACATAAATAAATACATTATAAAGCAAAAAATAACAACAATATCATTAAAAAAATTTCCTTTTTTTCATATTAAAAATGCAATCACTAACCATGATTTAAATTATTTCTATGATTATACCATAATTAGATAATATTCTCATAATCTCTATTAATTAAACTTAATTTTGGTTAATATGTAAAAAATTTGAATGTTAATGCTTACTTATTTCCAAACATTGAGTGGAGATTAATTATAAGCTTCTCCTCCTCTTCTGAAAATTTGCCTCGCTTGATGTCGGGCCGGAGATAGTTGGTCCACCTAAGCCTGCAACTCTTGCCACAACGGTTGAGTCCGGCTATCCTTGGAAGATGTCTCCAGCTTCCATGGCTGCCTTGCTTCTGAATGTAGTCGATGAGCTTCTGGTCTTCCTCCGGCGTCCATGGCCCTTTCTTCAACCCTGTTTCCTCCCGAGAAGGAGACCTCACCATGTTTTCTCTGAAAGGTGTTTGTTTGCTTGAAGGGAAGTGGGGGCAACCATGGTTTTATAGAGGTCAAAGAAGTTGCATTGGTTGCGGGGTTAGTTTTTTTTATAATAATTTTATTTTCTATATAATATGTGCAAAAAATGATGGTTTTATAGTGACGTATTATATATGATTTTTTTTAAAGTATAAGAAGAGTTATGTGTTTGCTAATTCAAATGTGTATGTATAAGTTTATTTTAATCTGTTATTTATTTGTTGATTTGATCAAAAGAAATTACTATTATTTTTTATGGTTCAATAACTTGAGATGAAAATGCTTTATGCAAAAAGTTTTTTATGCATATATGCATATATGTATATGTATCTGTATGTATGTATGTATATATATATCTATCAGTATGTATCTGTATGTATATGTTTGTGTGTATATATATATATGTATGTATGTATATGTATGTATTATGTATGTATATTATACACAAACATTCTTATAATTTCTCTATAGTCACATGATAAGAAATATTCTCTCTCTCTCTCTCTCTCTCAGGATCCGTTTGGCATAGCGGTGTGGCGGCGGTGCGACACCGCATTACTGTTTTGGCTACTTGAGAAAACTGTGCTTTGGCAAGCTTCCTCTGAAACCAATATTTTTCCATCGCTTCTGACTAGGTGTTGTTGGAGCTTTCTAGTTACGACTTTTTTAATATATATATATTTATTTATAATAGCCACAACAGTTTTTTTGAATAGTAACATTATTCTTCGATAACTTTATAGTAGCTTCTTAATAAACTGCACATGCCCCCAAAATAAGCCTTTGAGTAGCATATATATTAATATTTATTAAAAGTTTAGATAACTTCTTTAAATATTGTTGATTATTTTAATATCTAGGAGCTAATATGCCCTCTAGAATGTACAAGCCGTCATTCAATTAGTGCAAGATTCTAAATCCTATAGGGCCTTCGTTGGAACTTTCCCCATCTTCTACTTTATTTTTCTTGTTTCCTCCATGAAGACGACAGTCAAATAAAAGAGTTACAGCGACGTTAATTAATTAGCTATAGCAGTTAATTAAGTATTAACAATGCATAAATATTAATTTCATATTGGCTCCCTAATTCCGGAATCCGAATGCTTAAAGCTATATCACAGTTGAGGGGATTACACGTAATTAAGCAAAGAAATTAAGGGAGGATTAGGTTACCACCATGTGGTGTGGCAGACTATTATAGGCCGATTAGGTTTCCCATGACAACAAGGAAACGCCAAATATCAGCGATGACATGTTTCTAGGGTTAGGGTTCGAGAAATTAGGGCACGCACTACATTTTTAAGGATTAATAACATTACAAATCATGTGCTTTGGTGAGTTTTTAGGTCTGGTGAGGTTAGTTAACAAAGAAAATTTTGGTGTTTTTTTTTTAAACATATATATATATATATATATATATATCTGTGTTTATTTTATTATATTGTATCTTTCATTGTAGATTTAGGAAAGACAATGTTGATGTTTGGGGAGTTATGAAGTAGAATTGGTTTTTACTCTAAATTAGTATATTAAGAAATAGGAGGTCAACCGTGAATTTGGTATATTTATTTTGATTTTTCTTTGAAGATTTTGCTGATAAATAAGAGTGTACATGAGTCGAACTTGAGCATGCTAGGACTTTGTTTATGGTTGGCTTGTTTGTTTTAGGTCATGTTCAATAAATTAGGCTCAGAAAAAGTTTGTTCGTGTTCGGTTCAATATTGATCGTTTTGTTCGAATTGGCTTGTATTTGGCTTGATTTGCCAAGCTAAATTATAAAATTAATTAGAAATAACCAAAACCCTTTTTTTGAAATCGAAGAAACCTAAACACCGGAGCTGTAGTGATTTGAACTTTTATATAAATATATATAATACATTAGTATATGATTAATATATATA